TCCAATAATCACTCATTTGCATCTTAATCTTTGCCTTGACAAGCATTTGCTTTGCTTCATCCCTGTCCCCGACATTTCCGTGAGCTGCATTTTGTAAAATTCCATCAGCCACAAATTTATTATATCATATTTCTGCTAATTATTTCAAGATATGCTTAGACTGGTCAATATTCGAGGAAGCCCCCAACAGAAAACAATCCCACAAACCTGCTTCCACTTTTGATAGTCAGGGGCCCCTAATCTTAGGAAATGGATATGGCCAGTAGTTAACACTAACCTCATTCTTCTTGCCTTTACCCCCCTCTTTTAAAATTGTCAATAATGTTATTAAATAATATGAACTCATGGGTCTGTTTGTCCTCATTTCTTATTTCTGATAGCTATGGTGGGACATTGCAGAATCTCACTCTCAAATTGCCTATCACTGTCAACAAGTTTTTCCAGGCAACAGAGATGCAGTCGCAAGACTTTTTCCAGCGCTGGAAACAACTCAGCTTGTAAGTTTTCACAATATGAAATATCTGGAAATGAGGATTCAGAAATAATAGTTTGTATATAGGTAGTCTTTGAATTATGACCATAGTGGAGCTTGCCCATTATGGTCGCAAGGGGTAATGGTCATAAAGCAAGATGATCTTGCTTAACAAACCTTATTCTTCCTGATTTGGCTGTTAAACGAATGTGAAGGTTGTTAAGTGGAGCAGGAGATGCTTTGTAAGTGGATGAAACCCTGGGAGGCCTAGAGTAGGCCCAAGCCTACCTATCCTGGCCTCCCAAGATCTACCCCATCCAGAGATATCCCATTCTGTTTCTTGCCCTTGAAATCCCCATAATCCTTGGGTCTGCTCTCTCTCCTCCCACTGAGTCCCCACAGTCCTTTTTCCCCCCCAGTCAGGTCCCCATGGGCCTTTTCCCCCCATCCACCAGATTGGAAAGTCTGCAGTGCTGTGCAACCACAGTAGGTCAGGCAGCCATGGGGCGATTCCAGAAGCAGCCACCATTTCTTCAGCAACTAGAATTCGATGCAATCGTTTAGAAAATGGAAATAAAAAATGTACCATGCAGCCATTCATATTGCAGTGCTCCAGAAAGCTCCTGAAATCTTCAAAAGGCAAGTGTGTGATGAGTGACAGGAGCTAGAGAGGAGGCCCAAGTCCTACTGGGACCGGGGGGGGGAGCTGTGGTGACCTGGACCCGGAGATAGGTGGGGGAAGTGTTGCAGCACCCCTGTAGTCAGTTATAAAGGCAAACAACTGCAGGAGAGCTGCAACGGTTATAATTTCAGAATGGGTCATAAGTAACTTTTGGAGGATCCACCATAACTTCAAAAGGTCATTAAGCAACCAATCATTAAGCGAGGACTACCTGTATTTGTGAGAGAAAAGGGGACATGAGGTGGGTTTGTTTTTTGGAGGGGTGGGGATATTTAGTATTTTTCAGCTGAATAATCAGTGAATAAGAATACACATGACCTTGGCAAAGTTCTGCCTTTTTTGTACTTTATCTTTGCCTTTTAAAATTGCCACTGTGACTAAATGAATGGTTCCATTATCACCGTGTATGATTGAGGTACAGAAAGCATGCAACAGGATAGATGACTAGAAAGATAGGACCTGAATTACTGATCTGATACTCTTCTGCAGGCCACAACAGGAAGCTCAGAAAATCTTCAAGGCAAATCACCCCATGGATTCAGAAGTGACAAAAGCAAAGGTAGGTTGTTTTGAAAGGCTATGAAAAATTTGCAAGCTTTTATTTCAGCGAAATTAATTCACAGTTATTTTAATTTCAGATTAGAGTATGTCTAGTAATTTGCTCAGATGAGTGAAGGTTAAAGCTTTGGATATTGTGATTGTCCAGAGCAATTATGGAACACATTTCCTTCAATTGTTTAGTAATAGTTTGGGAATATTAGTGTATTATATTTAGGATTGTTGATTTTTTCATTGATCACCAGATTTTTTTCTTATGAAAATTGGCATAACTTCAAGCTAGAAGAGGCAGCCATTGTATAACTGAGACAGTTTTGCAGGTATACCTTTCTCCCATTATTAGCTTTCTATGAGGGGCATAATTTGCAGTGAGACCCTCTCTTATGATTGTATGAATCGAATTAAGTTCCAGTCTGTTCCTCCAACAGCTGTTAGGTTTTGGCAGTGCACTCCTGGAGAAGGTGGATCCAAACCCTGATAACTACGTAGGAGCTGGGATCATCCAGACAAAAGCACTACAGGTTGGATGCTTGCTGCGACTGGAACCCAATGCTCAGGCACAGGTGAGGGCTCCTGAGACCTCTGGGACTGAAGGCCTGAATTCAGGCATACAAGTTGGCACTGAAATAAAAGCATAAAAATTGGAAAACAGATTTCTGCGAGCTCTAAGGAAGTGATAGGAAATATAGATAAAACTGAAGATGAAAAGCTGAAAGCTTACCAAAGCACCAAGCTACTTAGCGACATAATGTTTAAGCTCTTTTTTTAAACCAGCTTTCCTTCATCCTGCAGATGTACCGGCTGACCCTTCGTACCAGTAAGGAGTCTGTTTCAAAGCACCTTTGTGAGCTGCTCTCCCAGCAGTTCTGAGGCATCTGCCACACCATAGGAAGGGGAGGCCATTCCTGCACACTAGATGCCTCTGTCCATCTCATCCCAACTCTCTCCAAACCAGGGGCCTCCAGAAAGACTGTACTGCTCCCTGCCTGTTATTGTGATAACCTCTGTGTTCTCATTGCCTAGCCCGGGCCAGCATCAAGAGGGATAAGCAAGGGGGGAGCAAAAGTATGGACCCTTGGCTGGACAAAATCAAACTGGGTTAGGGGAAGGATGCTGGGTATTGGTGCAGGGCATTCTTTCAGTAGTAATCATCCCCTTGGGCAAAAGGGCAATTTTTGGAAGAAAGCTAGCTTTCGTCCCATGCTATAAACTGGTCCATCTCATTTTGGGATGAGGCTGATATCTGTGGTCTTAATTCTTCACCCATTACCACTATTTTTATATGATTTAAGCTGGCGTTTTAGTTTTGTTTACAGTATGTATCTTTATTTTCTCACCCATGGACTTTCTCCTTTCTGCTGAGGAAAGGGATAGCTTCTCTGGCTCCCCTTGAGCTGGCTGGGGGGGGAATAGGATTGTGTGGGTATATGGCAATGAGGGGGTATTCTTGTAGGCAGTTGTTTTGTGTTTCTTTGCCTTGTGTGTTTTCCCCAGGGATGGGGATGTAAATTCTCCTTTTCCTTTGCTATGATCATTCCAGTGTTACAGTTACGTGTATTTGTGGGAACGTAATTTTGACAGCAACCTGCCTCTTTCTTCAGCTCTAGAAGGAAACTACATGAAAATGAGAGGAAGAGAGACAATTTCTTTCCTCTTCTGCCTCCCCTCACCATCTTTTCAATTCCCAGGAAAGAGTGCCTCAAGCAGTTACAAGAGTTTGGGAGATAGACTCTGGAATGCTGCCCTCCGTGCATTTTGGAAAAGAGAGGGGAAGGGTTTAGATCATGTTAGTTTGGGGGTGTCCCAGCTTCCCATGCTGGCCCGGGCTCCATGTTCCTCTGCTGTGTAGGTGTTAACTAGCGCATCTTAGTTTATCTGGGTTTTGAATGCCTGTATCTATCTCCATGTGACTCTAATAAAACCGTGAGAGTGGGGGAGAGCCAGAATCAAGCCAGGCTGGGTCACCCCCACACCGCTGACTGATTTGTTGCATACTGCTCTTTATATGTGGACAGGGTAGAAATGGATAGAGAATAGTCCCATACAATACATTATATTTTCAGTGTGCCTGGCCCTAGCATTTGCAATAGGATGTTCAGCTAAGTTGTATGGAACTAGTTACATATAAGCTTAAGAATTAAGCCTCATCAGGATTCCTTTCTCCATGTGGTGGAAAGTATGGAAATTCTGTCTTCCTTTGTGCAAAAACAGACAAATAAGGGTGACATGATAACAGTGTTCCAATATCTCAGGGGCTGCCACACAGAAGAGAGAGTCAAGCTATTCTCCAAACCACCTGTAGGCAGGACAAGAAGCAACAGATGGAAATTAATCAAAGAGAGAAGCAACCTAGAACTAAGAAGAAATTTCCTGACTGTTAGAACAATTAATCAGTGGAACAACTTTATTTACAACCATTATTGCCTACAACCGCATTCCAATCCCAGTTAGTGTTGTGAGGACTACCTGTAGTAGTGGAGGAAGGCATTTTCCCACTCCCACCATAGATAGTTTTAAAAAGTGTGACAATTAAAGTGGAAAACAATCATTTCAGTTATGTTCCTCTTAGAAAGCACAGTCTTTGCAAAATTCCACTTTCTCATTATTTTGCACTTTGAGATTTCCAACACCTAAGGCCAAACAGTGTCATGACCAAAGTCTTTGGAGAGAAAAAAATACTGCTCACTATGATGACTCTCTCCCCCCTCCCACTTCTATACACTTCAGTGTCCAAGATGCAAGTGAAAGTCTCTCCTCTGCATCTGGCCACCTGGTTTGGTTGGCTTAACTCCCTCAAGACTCATTAGAATATTTTAAAAGTATGTAGATCAAAATGGCCCTACTCAGTATACTTTTTATTATACGGTGAAAAAAACTTGTATATGATCAAGGCTCTGTGCATGTCCTAATGAAACAATGACAAGCAAATGCATAGTGTACAAACAGCTGGCTGTAAATAAGGGTAGTATTAATTTCAGTTAACATAACTCTCTTCCCTCTCCTCCACCGATTAATACATAGAGGTGTCTTCTATTCGTAAGTAAAAATATCAACTTTGCACATTGATTAGAATGCAGTACTGCAGGCTAATTCTGCCAACTGCCAGTTCGATTCTGACCAGCCCAAGGTTGACTCAGACTTCCATCCATCAGAGTTCGGTAAAATGAGGACCCAGATTGTTGGGGGGTAATATGTTGACTTTGTAAAATTGCTTAGAGATGATGACTGTGAAGCACTGTGAAATGATATATAAATCTAAGTGTTCTTGCTCTTGTTATGCTGAAATTTAAAAGGAAAATTTAGTTCTATAATTTTAACTGTCACAGTGCAGCTTGCATTCCTATTTATTTATATCCCACCTTTTATTATTTTTATAAATAACTCAAGATGGTGAACTTACATAGTATTTTCTCCTCTTTTCCTCACAACAATCCTGTGAGGTGGGTTAGACTGAGTGTGAATGGCCCAACGTCACCAGTTGGCTTTCGTGCCTAAGGCAGGACTAGAATTTGCAGTCTCTTGGTTTCTAACCTGGTGCCTTAACCACTAGACGAAACTGGCTCTCAAGATTAATTGCTGAATTCTACATAATCACATCATAGTTATGGCCAAGACTGGCCCAAGCACTTTTCTTGATGTATAATGTATACTAAGTTATAGACAAAATTATGTAAGTGCATAATGTTCATTAAGTTATGAGAGACAAAATTCTTACCTACAGCTATTTTTAGCTGTATTGTCTTCTACTTACATAAAAAGGTAGAAGGAGAATGGAATTGCATTGAATTGTTCACTTTCGCCTGTTTCTGAAAGTACTTCCATAAATTCAAACTCCTTTTCTACAGCCTAATCATCAATTGCACAGAGAAAATTTCATTACAACATTTGAATGAAAAAAATGTCATTCTAACTATATTGAGGGGCTCTAGCTCACCACTCCAAATTTCATCGGGTTCAACAAGACAACTCAAAAGGCCGAATCTTCAGCTGTGAGAGCCTGTAGCGTGCAGGTTGCTAAAGATCGTAAAGCAAAGGTAGGTACGTCTGTCTTCAAGATTAAGAAGAGCTGGTGCTGCCTCCCATGGATAACATAGGCTTTGTGCGTAGTGTAGACCATATAACAGTGCTGAGGACAGTGGGAGAAACCAGCATGAAAGTCCTCCAGCAGAGGGACTGAAGAAAAGAAATATTCATTTATTTATATTCCACCTTTATTTCTTTTACACATAATTCAAGACAGTGAACACATCCAATGTATTTTCCACATCGTATTTTCCCCACAGCACCCTGTCTTTTGATTATGTTCTACAGGAACCCCTCAGGTTTGGTATACTCCAAAGAAATGCAACAAAAAGATCAGCTGTAGCATGCACTATTAGATATTAAAAAATACTGCTATTTACTCTAAAAAGTATCTCAACTTTCCACTATGTTAGTTTTATTAAGGAATATAGTGACTAATTTGTCATGTGCAATACAAGCACAAATTGGGAAATAACTTGGTGCCTATTGATTCTTTTAGTCACGCAGGAGTTCTTCCAATTTTTATGAACAGTCAGATGTTTAAAAGCTCAGTGTGCAAATATTTTTCTCAACAGAAAGGTGGGAACATACCTGTGTTTTCTTCTTGCTTCTCACAAGGGAAGTATAAGGAAGTAACTAAAACATAGAAAGAACGGAGGGCACAGAGCCGATTCTTTATGGACATTTCAGATCCTATAAGGAGGAGATCAGGATGAGATTTCAGTAGGCCACCCTTTCATATGCCATAAATTGTCAGTGTTTTATGATTTTCAGAGTTATTAGAATAGAAGGGGTCCTTAATTTATCCTCTCCTAGTATAAGTCTATATGAGCAGGTCTTGAGATGATTATATGGGAGGAGTTTGACTCTGTGGCTCCCGAGGATGTGGACAGGATCCTGGGGAGGCTGAATGCGACCACATGTTTATTGGATCCGTGCCCCTCCTGGCTGGTACTGGCGGCTCGGGAGGGTACACGAGCCTGGCTCCAGGGAATTATAAACGCTTCTTTACGGGAGGGTGTCTTCCC